TCCAGAAACAAAAAATAATAAATGCACTTTTTTTACCTGCAAAAAAAGTGCATTTATTATTTTTTGTTAAAAGGTGAACTTATCCTTTAAAGTAAGGAAGCATTAATTGCCATAACCCAATTCAGAATGTGTGTTTTTGCTGTTCTTTCTGTATGCATGTAATTGCATGTATAGAAGTGCAATGTTGGTACAGCCAAAGTGCATGCAGATGTGCTTGAGATCAACAAAAGTGTTATGGAAAACCTCATGCTGGAGATCAGAATGGTTAAAATGTCGATTAAACGTGGATTTAATTTAACATGTTATTGCTCTGCTGTAGCACATAGTTTAAACTTTAGTAGATACAGTATATTAACTGTTGACCCATGCGGCCCATCTTCTCCTCTGTCAGGGAATACTGTACTAGTTGTCAGGCTTGACAGGTGATTTTAGCCAGATTTTTTGCATTTCTCAAAGATCCAGTGTTTACACGTTGTGGAATTGAGCCAGTGTCTTCTTGCATTCCTCTAGTCATCCATGTTTAAAAAGCTTCATCAATAGAGGGGAGGAAAGTAACCAGCAGACATAATAATATGGCTGTATTCAAAAAGTGCATTGTGTCTTTGGGGGAGGGGGGGTTGTTTTTGCTCGTTTGCAATAACGATTTTGGTTAGTGTAGTTTAATCTCCCCCAGTACCGGCAGTGTGGCATAGCCCATAGATTTTATTAATGAAATGTACAGCACAGACATTATACAGAGCTTTACAGTCCAAGTTGGTTTAAAGTGCTATATTAATATACAGTATCTGAGTACACCCATCACATTTTTGTTAATATTTTATTATATTTTTTCATGTGACAACACTGAAGAAATGACCCTTTGTTACAATGTGACATAGTGAGTGTACAGCTTGTATAACAGTGTAAGTTTGCTGTCCCCTCAATATAACTCAGCACACAGCCATTAATGTTTAAACCGCTGGCAACAAAAGTGAGTACACCCCTAAGTGAAAATGTCCACATTGGGCCCAAAGTGTCAATATGTTGTGTGGCCACCATTATTTTCCAGCACTGCCTTAACCCTCTTGGGCATGGAGTTCACCAGAGCTTTACAGGTTGCCACTGGAGTCGTCTTCCACTCCTCGATGACAACATCACGGAGCTGGTGGATGTTGGAGACCTTGTGCTCCTCCACCCTCCGTTTGCCCCACAGATGCTCAATAGGGTTTCATGACTTTTACCCTCAGCTTCTTTAGCAAGGCAGTGGTCATCTTGGAAGTGTGTTTGGGGTCATTATCATGTTGGAATACTGCCCTGCGGCCCAGTCTCCGAAGAGCGGGGATCATGCTCTGCTTCAGTATGTCACAGTACATGTTGGCATTTATGGTTCCCTCTATGAACTGTAGCTCCCTAGTGCTGGCAGCACTCATGCAACCCCAGACCGTGACACTCCCACCACCATGCTTGACTGTAGGCAAGACACACTTGTCATTGTACTCCTCACCTTTTTGAAGCCACACACACTTGACACCATCTGAATCAAATCAGTTGATCTTCGTTTCATCAGACCACAGGACATGGTTCCAGTAATCCATGTCCTTAGTCTGCTTGTCTTCAGCAAACTGTTTGCAGGCTTTCTTGTGCATCATCTTTAGAAGAGGTGTCCTTCTGGGATGACAGCCATGCAGACCAATTTTGATGAAGTGTGCAGCGTATGGTCTGAACACTGACAGGCTGACACCCACCCCTTCAACCTCTGCTGCAATGCTGGCATTACTCATATGTCTATTTGCCAAAGACAACCTCTGTATATGACACTGAGCACGTGCACTCAACTGCTTTGGTTGACCATGGCGATGCCTGTTTTGAGTGGAACCTGTCTTGTTAAACCACTGTATGGTCTTGGCCACTGTGCTGTAGCTCAGTTTCAGGGTCTTGGCAATCTTCTTATAGCCTAGGCCATCTTTATGTAGAGCAGCAATTCTTTTTTTCAGATCCTCACACTTCTTTGCCATGAGGTGCCATGTTGAACTTCCAGTGACCAGTATGAGAGAGTGAGAGTGATAACACACCTGCTCCCCATTCACACCTGAGACCTTGTAACACTTAACGAGTTACATGACAGAGGGAGGGAAAATGGCTAGTTGGGCCCAATTTGGACATTTTCACTTAGGGGTGTACTCACTTTTGTTGCCAGCGGTTTAGACATTAATGGCTGTGTGTGGCATTATTTTGAGGGGACAGCAAATTTACACGGTTATACAAGCTGTACACTCACTACTTTACATTGTAGCAAAGGGTCATTTCTTCAGTGTTGTCACATGAAAAGGTATAATATTTACAAAAATGTGAAGGGTGTACTCACTTCTGGGAGAAAATGTATATGAAACCTGCAAGGGTTTATTTATGTTGTCTAATTCCAGAAGTTTAGCTTGAAAATTTAAAGAGGACTGTGAATTTTAAGAATTATTTTTATTTTTCAGTTTTTTTTGTCTAAAACCATTCAGGGCAATTTAGTAGCACAGTACCAAGTAAAAATATATTATTGCATGTTGCAGTGTAAACATTTCTCAGAAGGCCAAATTGGTCTTTGTCAAGGTGATTACTAAATTTGGAGTGGGTCTATGTCGCATACATTCCCTATGGCTAGGGTTTGGTCAGATTAAACACCAGTGTTTTTGGATTGTGGGCGGGGGGGGGGGGGGGGAAATTAGTACTCTGGAGGAAGTCTACAGAAACATGAGTAGAAAATACTAAATCCATAAATATAATATTTCAGGTGGTATTTGCAGTTGATGCTCATTAAGGACAAGATTGCTAACCACATAACATAGTTAGTCCGGCTAAAAAAAGACAAAAGAAAAGAAAAAAGTCCATCTGGCTCAACCATACAAAAAAAAAAGTTATCCTATGCCCACAGTTGATCCAGAGAAAGGCAAAAAAACCCAGCAAAGCATGAATCAATTTGCTCCCGCAGGGGAAAAAAATAATTCCTGACTCCCTGAGAGGCAATTGGTTATTACCTGGATCAACTTTTACCTATAAATGTCAGTATCCAGTTATATTCTGTGTATCTAAGAAATAATCCAGGCCTTTTTTAACCTCCCTAGCGGTCTGATTATGTCCATATTTCTGTGCTCAAAGCGGTACATTTTTTTGCATGGAAATATGTATTTTTTTTTATTGTAGGCCTGTAATTTTTAGGAATAACTCAGTGAAATCTGTCCGAACCAGAGTCTAGTAAACATCCCGGGTAGGTTACAATTTGAAACACGAAATTATAAATTATAATTTAAAAAATAATAATAAATTTAATTCAATAATATAATCAAACCAAAAACACTGAAATTTGAAATAGAGCGCCAAGTTCGCACATCACTGAGCAAAGTCGCAAAATCAGTTTCAGTGTCTGATGAATTTCCCCACGAATCATTACACTGTTCAACAGGTAAAAAGTTTTGGGCATAAAATTAGCTAATCTTATATAATTTTGGGGTGCTGAAAAACGAAAATGACCCTAAAAAATGTTGATTGGCTCTAGTTTCCATGATATATTCACCCATCTAATGACGTAAGCCATTCAAAATTATGATGCAACTTCAGCTGCATATTGCGCAATTGATACTGGTGACCAATAGAAAATTGCATGTATACTGAGATGATGCAATATTAGCCTTTAATTGCATCACTTCACTGCATAAAAGCTGCAGTATCTGTAGCTGATTGTAGTTCGACAGCGTCTTTACATTTCGTTTTATGCTTATATAGGCTACTCAGTAATGCCTCGAACTTGTGTGAATAAAGCAGATAATTTCTGCTATATCTGCGGTGAAATAACTTTTATCTCACAAAAAAGGAGGATAACAGGAATGATTAAGAAAGCCTACAACTTGTATTTTGGCTGCAAGATAGGAGACCAGGACAAGAGCTGGGCACCACATATATGCTGCAATTCTTGTGGGACGGCACTGGAGCAATGGTTGAATGGAAAAAAGGCATCTATGCCTTTCGCTGTGCCAATGATTTGGAGAGAGCCAACAGATCATGTTAGTAATTGTTACTTTTGTATGGTGCCTCCAATTGTAAAAGGGCTAAATAAGAAGAAAAAGTTATCTGTGCTCTATCCAAATATTCCATCGGCAATACGTCCAGTTCCTCATGGAGAGGGGCTACCAATTCCTAAAGCACCAGAATCCTTCGTGGTTGAGTCAAGTGAGGAAGAACCTGAAGCGTGTAGTCATCAACCGTCAACCTCACATGACCCAGACTTTCTTCCATCCACACCCACTGATGAGTTTCTTTCTCTGTTGCGTGGAAAGGAAAAGGCTGCCTGGACAGCATTTGTATCAGTGACATCAAATTTTCTTGGAAACAATAAAACATCAGACTACAAGAAAGTGGTAGAAAAACTCATCCAGACTTACAGAAATCTGGGTTGCAACATGTCTCTAAAAATTCATTTTCTACATTCGCATCTGGATTTTTTCCCACCAAACTGTGGAGCAGTGAGTGATGAACACGGAGAGCGCTTCCATCAAGACATTGCAGCTATGGAAAGAAGATATCAAGGTAAATGGAGCCCAACAATGCTTGCTGACTATTTGCTGGACAGTTGTAAGAGATAGCCCTTTCCTCGAATACAAGAGAAAAGCCAAGAGAAGCAAAACCGACACAAACTGAAGACAAAACTAGTGAGAATCCTAAGTATTAAAATGATTCAACTTAGCTTATGGCTATAATTTTTCTTGGTAATCCTATGCAATATATTATGCCATTTAGGCTTTGTTATGTAGTCAATATCACTTGCTTTATATTTGTGGAAAGACATCTATCTATATAATTATTGTGCATTATGTAGTCATTACGCCTATAGTAGAAAACTTTCCGTTTACAGAAAAACTAGAGCCAATTGACAAATTTCATTGTTATATTTGAACTCAGAATGTGAAATTCATTAAGAAATGGATCCTTTTGTTTCCAAAACTGGCAAAAAATAAAAATTTGTTGAACAGTGTTATCATTCAATTCTGCAAGTAGTTCTGATTTACTATCGCTGTTCTCTAGCTGGTCTAAAACCGCTTTTGACCTAAAGGGACGTTTTTTTGGACACCATGGACATTTCTAAGTTTCCATTCAGAAAGAACAGTAAAAATGCAGGCAGGGCACAGGACAAAGCACTAGGGGCAAAATGTATGTGAAATGGTTTGATACAGTAATGTTTTACTATGTGATTTTAGTGAATGTCACTTTTTGTCATTTTCAAATTTCCCGCCGTTCCGTCCCCGTACGTCCCGAAGCTCGCAGGGGACAGAACCCAGAAGACAGATGCCGGCATCCACTGGATTACATTGCCGGGGACATTGTAGGAGGGACATCGCGGGAGCGCAGGACGAGGTAAGAGAAGAACAGATCCCAGGGCAGCGCCGCATGGTAAGTGTAGCTCAGGGTTACCGCTTGTGGTACTGAAACTTTACCCCGAGCTATGCTCGTGAATACCGCCAGGGAGGTTAAAGCAATCCACTGAGCTGGCCAGAACCAACTCTTGAGGGAGACTATTCCACATTTTCACAGCTCTTACTGTGAAGAAACCTTTTCGTATTTGGAAATTAAATCTCTTTCCCTCCAGACATAAAGAGTGCCCCCTCTTAAACTACCAAATGTGCACACATTCCAGCAACAACCAAAAAAAAAACACATTTTCAAGGTTGTCCTGTAGAATGTTCCTGCATCATTGGGTTTGTGACAACCAATATAGATATGTCTAATATGCTTGTCTGCCCCCTGCTCCTCAGTCTACTCCTTCTAATTGCACATTAATAACGGTCAGTATATTTTATTCTCCCGGATACAGTGTTCCTCCTCCTAGCCTTTGAGATATGGTGTTTACATTGTTAATTTTTGCTGTAAATCTCCATCTGCTGGCACTGCTATGAAATCAAGCCGCTTCTATTTGCTGAAGGGTGTGTGTGTTCCAGGAAACAGAGACTTATTAACACTTATTTACACAGTTCCACTGTTGCTGATTAAATAGGTTTGCAGAAATGAAATTCTGATACTAAATGTAAATGTTTATATGTTATGTCCTGTAATTTTTGTACTCAAAGGTAAAGGGCATAGGCTCTTGGTAAGGCTCATAACTTAAAGTAGAACTAAAGGCAAAACTTTTATTTGGGATAGAGCAAGAGAGGGTTAAAACCCCTGTTGTTTTTTGGTGTCCCATTGGGTGATTTCCCTTCACTTCATGTTCCATAGCCACAGCAGGAAGTGAATGGAAAGCTTAGTGTCCCCATTGAAAGATTATCCCCACTATTCCTGGCCTGGGGCTTTTCTCTGATGATGGCAGGGCTAATGGAGAAGGTAAATTTGCATAACATGAGCACAAACATCAATAAAAAAAACCTGACAGGTGTTCTTTTCCCCCTCTGTCCAAAACTTAAAAAAAAAAAAAAAAAAAAAAAAAAAAACGTTTTGCCTGTAGTCATGCTTAGTTACAAATGGAGCAATATTGGGACAAGAATCATATAGCACCCAGGACAAAGATGACAAACTGCAGTACTCCCTACCCCCCCCCCCCCCCTCCCCCAATCCCACCACAAAACCTCCTCGGCTCCTAGCACGAATCCCCCATCCCCCAAATCACCCCTCCTAGCACAAATCACCCCCTCCCAACCCTGGTTTTACAGGTGAAGGCCACTGACATTTTTTTTCCTACTTCTCTGACCACTTGACCCTAGCCAAATGCAAATCTAGTGAAAGTGTCACTACTGGTAGCTTGAGGCGATACCTGGACCCTACAGAGGTTGCACAGGCAGTCCAACTCCTCCAGCATGGCACATCCAATATGTGCCATTGCCAGAAGATTGGCTGCGTCTCCCAGCACAGTCTCAAGAGCATGGAGGAGATTCCAAGAGACTGGCAGTTACTCTAGGAGAGCTGGACAGGGTCATAGAAGGTCCTTAAACCATCAGCAGGACCGGTATCTGCTCCTGTGTGAAGAACAGGATGAGCACTGCCGGAGCCCTGCAAAATTACCTCCTGCAGGCCACTGGTGTGAATGTCTCTGACCAAACAATCAGAAACAGATTTCATGAGGGTAGCCTGAGGGCCCGACATCCTCTAGTGGGTGCTGTCCTCACTGCCCGGCACCAAAGAGCTCGATTGTCATTTGCCATTGAACACCAGAATTGGCAGGTCCACCATTGGCGCCCTGTGCTTTTCAGATGAGAGCAGGTTCACCCTGAGCACATGTGACAGATGTGAAAGGGTCTAGAGAAGCCGTGGAGAATGTTATGCTGCCTGTAACAACATTCAGCATGATTGTTTTGGTGGTGGGTCAGTTATGGTCTGGGGAGGCATATCCATGGAGGGACACACAGACTTCTACAGGCTATACAATGGCACCATGACTGCCATTAGGTTTTGGGGTGAAATCCTTGGACCCATTGTCAGACCCTACACTGGTCCTGGGCTCCTCCTGGTGCATGACAATGCCCGGCCTCATGTGGCGAGAGTATGCAGGCAGTTCCTGGACGATTAAGGAATTGATACCATTGAATGGCCCCCCACGCTTGCCTGACCTAAATCCAATAGGACACCTCTAGGATATCATGTTTTGGTCCGTCCAATGCTGCCAAGTTGTACCTCAGACTGTCCAGAAGCTCAGTTTGATGCCCTGGTCCAGATCTGGGAGGAAATACCCCAGGACACCATCCATCGTCTCAATAATAGAGCATGCCCCGATATTGTCAGACATGCATACAAGCACGTGGGGGCCATACAAACTACTGAGTACCATTTTGAGTTGCCGCGATTAAATTTCAGCGAAATGGATTAGCCTGCTGCATAATTTTTTCACTTTGATTTTCATTCATTCATCTGTAGGTTGATAATTTTCATTTCCATCAAACAATGGGGCATCCTTACATTCTTAACACATTACCCAGTCCATATCAGTAAAAAAATCCAACATGCTATTTTTCCTCATTGAGATCTCATGCGTTTTCAAAAGTGTTTTTGAGCAGTGTATTAACAGCAAAGGCAGTTGTGGCTCTGGCATTCTCCATTGGGGACTGTATACTGTTGATTTTTAGTCCATATATGTGCCAACCAAGTAAAAGATTATAGTTGCCCGACTGTAAGTGGCATAAATACAGTCACTGGTCTGGACCAGGAATTGAAATCGGTCAGAAACCCCAGTCTTCATATTTTCATTTCAGTCTCTTGGCCTTTAGATCAGAGTTACAGCGAGACTATTAGAATTATAATGCCAATAATGGCAACCTGCATATCTGCACCTAGACCCTAGAAGCAGAACACCCCCTAATCTTTCCCTACCAGTCTAGGCTCCAGAAGTGCATTGCTATTTTCAGTAGCAATTTAAGTAGTACCTCTAAAAGATTCACCTTTTGTCTTAGACTTTTTGAAATCCTTAAGTGTTCTCTGTGCCTCTCTTTGCCTACTTTAACTGAACATTAACCCCTTATACTCCAAATACTCCCAAATGCTGGCTTATAGTACAGAATGTTTCCTGTGCATTACCTTAAGTTCTCTTCTGACATCTTACAGAACAGGGCCTCTGCATCAATATCAGTTGGCTGACTTTTTACAGACTCATAAAATGTAACTTTTTAAAAAGGTTCAGAGTTCTGGGGAATTGAAAGGTTTTATTACTAGCTTGGCTAGTCAATGCAAATATGGTGGTTCTGTTTATAAAGCTAAATAGCTGTTGCCTGCATTTGCAAACACAGCCCTATTTGTAATGCCAAATTTTATTATACTTTTAAAGAATTGCATCATTAGAAATGAGTCAGCAGGTGTCAAACCTATAAAACTACATCTTGAAAATATTTGCTTATTTTGGGCGCAGCTAGTCTGTCTCCTCTGAAGGGTCATGCACAGGTAGTGGTTACTAAAATAGTTAGCAATTCATCACGAAGTGCCTTTTTATACATTTACCACAGCGCACTGTGTTCTGTGTACATTGCCATGAATAAATCAATACGCCAATACATATACAGTATACAAAGCTAGTGTACTGCATGTGCTGCATTGGGACTCATTCAGAATTAATGGGCTGTGATAATGCAGCATGTAGGTAGCAGTGCGTGATGTATCATGTGGCTTATGCACTTCCACAAAGCAATATAGTGTAAACAGACCCTAAAGTTAGTGATTGATCACTACACAACAAAAGACCACCTATAGTGTGATCAACACAATTGGCATGTAGTAGCTGTTAATGGCACACATTTTGTACAACAGATGATTGCTTCTAAATGATTTTTGTAGCTCACACCATAGGCACACATTTTGTACAACAGATGATGGCTTCTAAATGTTTTTGTAGCTCACCCCATAGGCACACATTTCTTATTTTATATTGATAAGTTGCTAAACTTGGCGATTTGTGTTTAGCGATTTTAGTAGAACTGAGCTATGAAGTCGGCTAAAAATCTAACGGTTCTCTGGAGGCTGATGCCATCACGTTTTATGGTGTGAGCTGGTGGTGGCATTTTTCTCTGTTTTTAGCCTTATTTTAGATAGTAAAAATACAGAGAAACATCACCACACCATACAAAATGATAGCATCCAAAGAGCAGTCCTACGCGATTCATTCGCACATCATCGGGGCTATGGTACTTTTAAATAAATCTCTTGGATTACCTGCACTATTGGGAGTTTGACTTCTTATGTCCTCAAATATGTATAAGAAAGGAACTTATTGTTGTGATTGGGATAGCGCCTGGTTCAGTCATCCACTTTAGGGATTTATCCATACGCTAGCAATATTTTACCTCCTTAAATGTGGGGATCCAGCCACCTTGTAAGTGCTGTGGAGGAGCGTGAACCACAGAGGAGTTTTGCTGAAACATGGCACAATGGATTGGAAAACTTTTGAATATACCAAGTATACACATTGGGACATTTTACACTCTAATTAGTGCTAAATGTATTATTTCAGATTTGGATTGGACTTTTTATCAGGCTCTTACATATGTGGCTTCCTTTAGGGTCCATGCATACTGGCTTAAAAAAAAACACCAGTGTCTTTTTTTTTTTTTTTTTTTTGTACTAACGTTTAGCGTTTCTTTTTTTTTTTTTTTTTTTTTTTTTTCAGCCGGAAAACTACTTTTAGAAGAGCAAAAAAGAAGGGTTTTTTTTTCTGCCTGTAAACTGTGAGGTTAAAAAAATGCCTCTAAATGACCTAATGTGCTTGGACACATAGGATAACATTAGTTTCTTCTATCGACCAAACGATAAACTCCTCTTTGAGGAGCTTTTTTTAATTTTAATATTTTTTTTTTTAAGCCAGTGCGTATTTACCTTTGCTTATTATATTGTTATTTTTAGGGAAGATGCAGTATTTTATTTTTT